GGGGGAGATAAAACATACAAATCATCGGGAACGGATGGTGTCTCCACATCATTAAAGCATTCAGAGTACCACTCTTCAGAATGGAGATCGTGGCCCTCAAAACTCGAGGGAGAAGCTCCCTCTGCTTTTATTTTTTGTAAACCAAAAACGTTACCATTGGAAAGAAAGTACTGCTTCGATTGGCTCGAACGAATTAGCACAAGAGATGGACCTGAAAATACTGACATAAGCTGAGCTCCTTCAGGTAAAATCTCATCAAATGGATCCTCTCTAACCTGAACGTGAACACAAGAACATCGATCAGAGCAACCGACGACTCTCAAGGTCCAAACATTTATGCCGTGTTTATAGGGTTATTGTTCAACTCACAGTTTCGTCAAGGATTGCAGAAAAATTTTCTCCACTTAACAGTGAGAATCCCGCAGGTTGGTCTTCGAATTGTAACACCCGACGCCTCTTTAGAACAGAATGTGTCTCGCTCTGTTCTTCCAGTGTTTTGTCTGTGTCACCTGAAGTCCGACAGTCTAAGATTAGAAACCGTCATTAATACAAATCAGGAACTGAAATGACGACTTTCAGGCAAAGCAAAACCTGATGTCATTTGGTAGGCCAGATCCACACATGCCTTAACCGGAGTGGCTTCATCATCAAACATATACGAGTGATCTTCTTGGTTCAAGGTCACTTCAGTCATCATCGTGCACTCTGTCACATCAAGAGATGATCGATCACACAGCTCGGCTCGCAATAGTTGAGTAGTTGCATCTAGTTAAAATACTTACAGTAACTGGACTCTTTCTGCTGATTATATTGCTTTTGCCAATTCCAGGAGGGACCTCTACAATTTTCAAAGTATAGTTATCATATGATCAAATCCCAACTACATCACATGTTCAGACAGTTCTACAGCGGAAGCATCAACACATCACATGTTCATTCGCATATATCCCGAAACCCTGGAAATTCTCAGGTGCAGTGCAGGATGACGATGATGATGATTATGACATGTGATTATATTCCATCGATGAACATCATATGCCACATCATTGTAGAAACAGAAGCATATATTGAAGCACAAGGAACCATCTTTCTCCACTACAGAACCGCACGCCAAAGACCATCCGACCAGTGAAGTTCTCTTATTCTAATGCCAAACATTGAATGAAATGACAACAATAGACTTCGGATCTAGTATGAAGATCAATGCAAGGCATTGAGCATCCAAAACCTAACCAAAACAGAAATGGCCACAACAACAGAAAAAAAAAAACAGGATTGAAGAAACATCCATGACCCACCAAGACATGATCTTAGTTTACAACTTTTAAGAGCAAACCCAACATTATCCAACAGAAGACCTTGATAACTAAACCAAATACATTGTACTAAACCCGGGAAGCAGCAAAAACACACCCTCACCAAAATCAGCATTGAGCAGTTGATGAGAACAAAATTAAACAGAGCATAACATTTAAAACAAACCCAGACAACAGAGCGCTCAAATTCGACCAAATGTAACCCTATTTTGTCAGAACCCAGACAAAATCCAGATGTCGAAGAATACCCAAATAGATAGTCATCATCAAACCGAATCAGAACACAAATGTTCCACACAAACACAAAAACAAGATCAATACGAGTAACGAAGCGAAACAAAGAGACTCTACCGATCATTCTCGTAATCCATCACTTCTCCCACTCTTCGATGTTCTTCGCTTCACGCTCGTCGAACTAAGTAGCCGTAGCCCAGGGAAAAAGAAAAACCGAAATTGACCCAAAAAAAACTCCACAACGGAGTATAGACACGAACAAAAACAACGTACAACGTTAAATCGGATTCTAAACTGTATATCGAGAGCAGTTCACTGACCTCTGTTGCTCGAGAGATGTGCGTGCTTACTGCGGCCAAAAAAGGCAAAACCGACGTCTCTCTCTCTCCACCACACTGCGAAATATTTACCTTCGTACATATTTATGGAGAGAGAGAAATGGCAGTTCAGTTTCTCTCTCTCTCTAGAGAAAGAAAGGACCATTGCAGGGCACGCTTCTTTTCTCGCGATTTTCTCTTAATTGTATTTTTTTCTCTCTCTCTCTTTCGCCTCTTTATATTAGTAAGTGCCAATTATAAATACTTTTGCCTTAAACGTATTTTTCTATTTTCTAAAAAATACTATTCACATCGATTTCATATTTTATATCCAAAAAATTGGGTATAATATATTTAACAGAATCTATACAAATTGATAGGAACTATCTGTTATGATATATTATTAGAGAATTTTCTGAGATATATATATTTTTTATCTTAACCAATAAAATGTTTTACTATCGCTTAATTTTTTTTCTTTTGTTTCAAAATTCTAAGAACAAAATAAAAGTTATTAATTTATTTACTTTTTTTGTTAGATACAACTTAGAGCCAACGGTAATAATAAAATTGGTTTGGAATATGGCTATTATTATTGTAGAATTGATACAGTAATTTCCTGTTTCCATTTTAAATAGGAGCTGTTTGCTTAGTTGGATTACCTTGGTCTCAATGATATGTATGTACGTACGTACGTACGTACGTATGTATTATATTTAAATTCGTATATAAATATTTTAGGTATTAGAATTTGAAATCTGATATTTTTATTTGTGGATTTTGGTACTGGAACCCAGATTAAAAAAAATATATAATGTAATGGAAGTTGTATAATTTTAATAGAGATTTAAGATAATTCAACGATTTTTAATATAAATACGAAAAGTAGTGTATAATTATATTGGATATCCATCCTATCACGAAAATGCAAAACATGATTCGAAATCAAACTCGAAAATGATATAGAACCGATTCAGATTCAAAAATCCGAATTCGAACTTGAATTTATAATAATTTTGACAACTCTTACTTGACATTAGCATTAGCAGTATAAAACGATAGGTTTCTGTCCTCTTAATAACGAAACAAAATGTAAAGTATGTTTTTATTTTAGATTTAAATCGAAAGGTATATAAAGAGAACTCTTATTTTAGACAACTCTTATTTTAGATATATATATATATATATATATATAT